GACTGGTACAGGAGACTGCCCCTCCTTCTCCAGCAGAGCATGAAGTAGAGTCTGGGTTCCTGGGTGCCTGTCGGGGCCTGTTTCAGCTGTCCACACCACAGCAGTGGGCAATGAGCTTAAAGCCCCTGATGGCTCTGGGCGCTGACTCTCACCAGTGGCTATGGATGAAGTCACAGGTGATTTTCAGCCAGCGCCGAGAAGTAGCTCCTCTTGATATCATGCCCAAAGCAAGTGAGATGAAATTGAACCATCATTGCCTCTAAAGAGCACCTCAGTTACACTTCCTGTAAGATAGGCTTGCTTGTTCTTTTGATAATCTGTGAAATATTTACTACTCTTCTCCAACACCACAATTCAAAGGCATCATTTCTTCCGTCACCCCTATTTACTGTCCAACTTTTAGATGTATAGGAAAAGACTGGTAGTAAGAGTGGAGACACCTTAACCTTTAAACTGACATCCTTGCTTTTTAGCACTTTAGGTAAGTCTTTGACAGCAGATTTTCCCAATGCACCACATGTTTTGATTTCTTGACTACTTTTACCATGGGTATTAATTTCAAATTCAAGTAAAAATAACTTGTTGACAACCTCAATTATTTCTCTATCATGATATTGCCTATTGGTTCTTGGATGGTACAAAAATTTGAAGGGTTTTTTTGTTGTTGAGGAGTGTGTGTGTGTCTGTGAGTCTGTGTCTGTGTGTGTGCTTGAATAATAGGGGCAAAGAACTGTGAGTTTGATTTGGTTTTTTAGGGGAGCAGTTTTGGGGTTTTTGTTTGTGTTTATTTTTACATTTCTGGGTTGTAATGTTTACAAACCTGATGACAAATTTAAGTTGCTTTAGTTCAGCAGTATCTATGTGAAGACTGTCTCTATGCAAAAATCAATGGAAGTTTCTAGAAATGAGTAATGTAATGAGAAGAACTCATAACAATTATGTGCTTATTATCTCCTTAGCAGGACCACCGTGGGTTGGCACAATGAATTAGGAGCCAGCTGCTAACCAGAAGGTCAGGGGTTCAAGGCTACCATTTGTTTTGCAGAGGTACTTCTGTGTTTTATTCTTTTTTTTTTTTACTGTTGTGTTTTATTCTTATATAAACTAATTCATGAATCTCCACAAGTTGTGAAATAGGCACTATCGCACACTCCTTTATCAATGAGACAACAAGGACACAGAAGGTTAAGTAACATGCCCAAGGTCGTCCAACAAGAAAATAGTTTGTTGTTGTTGTTGTTTTTATGTGCCATCGAGTCGTTTCCGACTCATAGCGACCCTATGCACAACAAGAAAATAATCCAAGATGGTTCTGGGCCTCACGTCTCAACTCAATGACATTATTATACAACCTCACGTAGCGTGCCTCCCACCTCCACATTCTTCAGGTTCCAGTCCTGGGTTCTACACTGGAGCGAGACTGATGAATTTCACACAGCCAAATGGTCCATAAAAAGTGCAAAAAAGGCCACTCTGTGTGAGAGTGGTACCTCCGCAGAGGGCCACCTGACTCGAGACTCAGGCTGGAAAAGGCTCCCTAGAGGAGGCGATGCTCACTCCCAAACTTCCTGAAGGGTATGTATCAAATAACCAGGCATGGGAGTAAGGGGAGTGGCACAGAGGATGAAAGGAAATTTGGGTAGAGGCAAATTCAGGCATGGGCAAAATTTCAAGGCAGGAAAAAAAAATACAGCTTCATCAAGGAACAGCATGTAGTTAGATAGTGTTGGTGTTGTAGTATGGTGGGTGACAGACTCAAGAATTAGATTGTATAAAATACCGACACCAGTGCCTTGCTTAAACACAATATTGACGTGAATGCTTACCAGAACCCCTACAGAGCTCCAAAAATATGCACTGATTTTGCAATTTCTACATCTATCCAACTCTTTCTCTTTTTAAAAATTACAAATAACCTTGTGTTGTTGTTGTGCACCATGGAGTCAGAACTGGCCTATAGTTGAGCCTCCAGCAGGTTTTTAGAGGCAGTAAATCCCACAAGAGTGGCTGGTAGCCTCAAACCTCGAGCCTTTGGGATTGCAGCACAGCTTCTTGACACTAGGCCATCAGAGCTAGGTAACCTAATTACCAACAACATCTTGATGTAACTTCTGATGGTCACTTGCCATAGTTGTCTAAATCCCTCTTGTGGTGGTGGTAATATTGTTAGGGGCTGTTGAGACTCATAGTAGTGACCCTGTGAACAAATCCCCCTAGGTACCTAAACGCCAAGGAATTTGGATTTATCAAAATCTCTCAAATAAAGGACTGAAGAATTCGATATTAACTAGAAGAATGATCAGGTATTGCCAACCACTCCCCCCCTTCCCCATACACAATCACCAGCTCACCAATTAATGTACAAGGACTACATTAGTAGGGGCCAAGAATAGAAGCAGGAAACCCAGTAAGGAAGTTATTACTGTATTTCAACTCTGAAATAGGAGACCTTTTGCTGGAATCGTGGAGCCATGGGAAATACCTTAAAACAAGGTGCCAGTGCCAGACAGGGCAGATTTGGGTGCATACAGCTCTGTGCTCCCACATCCCTCACCCACCTGCCATCTTTAAGGTTCTTGGAGTATGTTCCTCAGTCCCAGGGTCTAAAAGTCTCTACACAATTAGATGTTGAACAGCACCTTCTCACTTAATGATGAAAAGCATCCTGTCTGATTCCTCTTTACTTCTTTACCACCTAAAGTATTTTCAATATTCTAATACTAATAATTTTTGGAATATTCCTTTGACTATTAGGATTTACTTACATTCCAGCCAAGGAAGTTTAGGCTGTAACTGGGTTCTATAAGCCTGCAAGTATTTCAGAAGGATTATGATTCAACCTGCAGCAAGCATTCTTGACCTTATTATCTCCAGCTTCCCAGGGGCTGGCCAAAGGGTTTTGGAACCTTTGGGAATGCATTTTGTTAACAAAGATTCTCATGTAAGAGATTGTTGGGTTGTCTATGTCCCTAGGTTGTGGATGGCTTGCAAAAATGCCTATGTAAACGCAGAACTTTCTCAGTGGTTCCTCTATTCACTGTTTGTTATAGGAATTTCTGAGTATAATCTTATTGAAACAGAACCCCAGGCCTTCCTTTTACAGTGCCTCGGTGCCACTCTTTCCAAGGGGGGAGGGCGCATGCGCACAAGTATTTCAGAAGATTTTCCCCCCCCCAAAGATATCTTATTAATTTCACAATAATAGATGCCTCTGCCTTCCTCATGGAATTCTGGTGGTGCAGTCCATAGAGTAGTTGCGCTGTTAACCCAACGGCCAAGTCTCTCCAGCTATAATTCGACTTACAAGTCTCAGACACACGTTGGAGGATCCGCTGCGAGATGGTTCTGGTTCTGACTCAATGGTGCTGAGTTTGTGTTTTGAGCTCTCTTTCTGGAGCAGAAAACACTTACCAACTCTGAGCCCCCAAGACTTGAACTCGGGCACACTTCTCAAATAACAACCTACCTGCTTATGGGTTGTTTTTTTTTTTTATTTCAAGTATTAGAACTTTGGAGAGATTCCTTTGAATATTAACAGAGAGAATTGCTTTTGTGGCAATGAAAGTGACATGGGAACTAAATGGGGTTGTTTTAAATTTTTAATTAAAATCTCTTAACTAGAAGGAATAGATGGGAATTTTAGGACAAAGGGCAGAGAGATGTCTGACTAGCAGCTCAAACCCTTTTCCCTCCATTTGGTCTCCCACCTCCCCCCTCACTGTTCTCCGTGAACCTCAGGGCTGTTCCATCTCTTTCCAGACGATGGATGTGCCTGGTGACACTTAGGGTACATGGGGCACCACGAGCGCCATCACTACCCGTGCCTCGCTGATGTGCGAAGACCTAGACCGAGGGTGGGCGAGGAGCTGGCAGAGCAGTGTTACCTTGATGAAGAGGGTAATGTCGTGCTCCCGCGCCGGGGCCCCTTCCCCCGGGACCTCGCCGTCCTCCCCGCCGCCGCCGTTGACTGGCGCCGCCTCGCCGCTGTGCTCCTCCGCCAGGTGGTTGCTGAGCTGGTCCTCCGCCTCCCCGGCGCCCCCGGGCTCAGCCTCAGCCTCGGGGCTGCCGTCGGGGGCCTCCACCTCGCTTCTGGCCACTTCTTCCTCTCTCTTTCCCTCGGATCCTGAGCCCAACTCTTCCTTCTCCGCCTTCTCGTCTACCTGTATTTCCCCCTCAGGCCCAGTTGGGTCCCCGTTCTCGCCTGTGTCTGTGCTCGCGACCCCTGGGACCTGATCCTCGGGGCCCTCTCCTCCCGACCCCTCTCCTCCCGGGCTCCCCATGTCCTCCTCCTCGGCAACGCCCAGAGCCTCCTCCGAGCTTTCCTTGGCCGCCACCGCCTCAGCCTGGGGCTGGGGGCTGCGATCCCCTACGTCCTGGGGCTCGCCCTCCGCCCCGGGCGCTTCTCCTGCCGGCCCCGCGGCGGCGTCCACTCTGTCCCCAACTGGCTCCCCCACATCCATGCCGTCCCCCACCACCTCGGGAGCGCTGCCTCCCTGCTCCTCTAGTTCGTGATCCGCCTTCTCCTCCTCTTCTTCGGGGGCCGCGGGCCCCTCCAGGGGCTCCCCCGGGGCCTGACCCTGCGCGCCACTCCCCGGGCTCTCCTCCTCCGCCGGCAGCGCACCCGCCTCCTCTGCCCCCGGGGGCTGCGCGGCGCTGTCCCCAGCGCTGTCCCCAGCCTCGCCCTCCGATCTCTGCACCTCGGCCTCAGGGTCACTGCCCGTGCCCGGCGGCGACTCGTTCGAAGACCCCATGTCCCGCGGGGCGCCGTCGTCCCCGCTCACCGCTTCCCCCGCCAGCTCGTCCCTCGGCTCCTCCGCTGTGGCCTCGCCTGCTTCCACTCCCTCCGCCTCCAAGCTAGTGACCCCCGGCTCGCCAGGACCCTCTGCCAGAAGCGCAGGACTTTCGGGGGAGCCCTGCGGGGCTTGGGCTCCCTGCTCTGCTTCTTCGGCCTCTGCCATAGCCACAGACCCCTGCCCTTGACCAGAGACCCTCACCACCTATATGCCCCCAGCGGGAGGTCGACACACTCTGAGTTTAGGCTGTTTGCCTGGGAAGCCTGACTGTGCCCTGGACCCTCAGACCACCCCCTCTGGGCCCTGCCCCGCTGCACACTTCCCCTTGGTTTAAACTCTGGGCTATTCCTCTGCTAGTACTACTTCTCTAATTCTGCAACTATTTCCCACTCAGGTTCTGACCTGAGATGCCTTGGTCCTGAAGGTAACTATACAAAAGCGCCAGGCCACCTTCTCTGAGGTTGACCAGAAGTCCTTGGTGCCAACTCCATCCCCCTGAGATTTGGGCGGGATCTGTCTACTTTCCTACCCCTTAACTTTCAGTTTACTTGGGAGCCCAACCAATGACAGCCTTTCTTGCCAGCCTTGTGGATTTTAGAGAAAAGATCCCGGTCCTGAAAGTGCTGGTCACTGGCTATTTTCTGGAACGGTTTCAAATTCCAGAAACCTTTAAATGAGCCCTCAAGCACATGGTGGAGGTCAAACACCTAACTTTCAGCGCCAGCTGCTTCCAGAAACTAGCTGTGTTCCGTCTAAGGGCCCTGCCTTCCAACATGACATGCGCTAAACGCTGGGGAGTCTATGCTGAGAGAGTAGCCCACCTCTTTTCTTTCTGATCCCTGAATACTCTTAGTCTATGTATCTCCAAGAGTCTCTCAGATTTTCTAAACCCAACTTAAGTGCAGAGGCTGCAAAGATGTGTGCAAGGATGAAGGGGAAATGAAAATAGAAGATGTGGAGAAGTTACGGGATACACTGGGTTAGGAATCGCCCATGAAAACAAACCAGATGCATTTTCCTTTGAAAACTAAGTGACAATGAAAAAATCATGTAGTCAGTGGGATGCTGGATCCTGTGGGTTGCAATACGAGCGAGAGTGCTCAATATGTTAGAGTTTAAACTGAGTAAAGCAGAGATCTCAACTCAAGACCAGATTTGAATTGTAAGATCTTAATGGATAAAAGATTGAGGTAATCAATGATTTAATCTTGCACAGATCCACACTCAACACATTTGGTACCATGAATTGCATTGGATAAATCTGTCAGGGACCTATCCAGAATGCTAAAAAAGTTAATTATGTCAGGCTAGAGACTTAGATGTGCCTAATCCATGTCATAGTCTTCTCAATGGTTTGCTATGAATTTGAGAGTTAGACAATAACTAAAGGTGAAAGAAAAAGAAGTTAATGCCTTAGAATTGTGGTTCCAGAGAAGAGTACTGAACTTACCATGGACTGTCAAGAGAACAAACAGGCTTGTCCTGCAAACAAGATGCTCATTGAAGGCAAGGATTTTGAAGCTGTATCGTACATATTTTGAGAATGTTTCCAGGAAAGACATGTCTTTGGAGAAGGGCATCATTCTTGGAAGGCTAGAGGGTGAGGACAGGAGAAGAAAAGATGGATTGATACAGTGACTGTGACAATGGGGTCAGGTGTGTCAGAGACAGCAAGATTGGCTCAAGATAGGCAAGGTTCATAGTCATTGTTCATATGGTTGCTATGAGTTGTAGCTGACTCCGCATACGTAACAACAACAACAATGACAAGGGAGTTCTAGTGACCAAAGTAGTAAGGCAATCCAAAGGTATATGGTTCAAATTTACCAGGTGCTTTTTGGGAGAAAGAAGATAAACCTCTTGTGTAATTCATTGACTTTGAAAACCCATTGGAAGATGAGCTGTGAGTTGGTTCTGACATAATAGTACCTAACAACAGCACAACAATGGCACATGTTGGAGGGGACCAGTCCTTTGTAAAAGGCGTCATGCTTGGAAAGATAAAGGGTCAGCAGCAAAGGAGGGGAAGACCTTCAACAAAATAGATTGACAAGGGACTATGATAATGAGCTCAAGTGTGTCAGCATGAGGATGGCACAGAATAGGAATAAGGTACAATTCCTTTGTTCATGTTGTTGATTTTCATCAAGTCAAGCAGAACTCATAGCGACCCTGTGAACAAAAGATCTGAACCGTCTTCTATAAATATCGTTGTGTCTCTAAGTTCATAGAGTTTCCAGAGGCATGTTGTTTACGTTTGTAGGGTCACTATTAGTCCTAGTCCTCTGGAATGAATGCACCTAACAACAACAAGAAAGGCTCCAATATTATCCAGAGTCACTTTACCTCACCATAGTCACAGAGGGTTCTTATTAAAAGAGTCAGCAGTGTCTTTGATGTGGCTGAAAGTCACACATGTGAGCATGATCAGAATAGCCCTTTTTGTTTGTCATTGCCCATCACTGATAGAAGACAGATATCTACAATTGAAATACAGCATGTGGGTGTCCTTAAAGAATACAGCTATTAGATTATTTACCTTTATCTCGTTGTGGTGCTTAAGTATTTTATAAATTCTGGAAATAAGTTCCTTATCTGATATGTCATTACCAAATACTTGTTCCCAGTCTGTGGCTTCCCTTTTTACCCTGTTGGAAAAGTTTTTGGATGTGCATAGGGATTTGCTTCTTAGAAGTTCCCATTCATCTGTTTTATCTTCTCCTGGTTGTAGATTTTTCAGGATACTTGGAAGATGGTTTATGTTGTGAATTAGAACTTCTAGTGTTCTTCCAAGCTTTTCTTTAATGAAGCTTATAGTCCTTGGTTTTAGTCCTAGGTCCATGATCCACCTTGAGTTAGTTTTTGTATATGGAGTGAGGTGTGGATCTTGCTTGAGTCTTTCACAGATTCTTTTCCAATTTTGCCAACACCATTTGTTAAAAAGGCTGTCATTTCCCCACTTAACTGGTGGGCACAGGATATGAACAGACACTTCACCAAAGAAGACATTCAGATGGCTAACAAGCCCATGAAGAAATGTTCAAAATCCCTAGCTCTAAGAGAGATGCAAATTAAAACAACTATGAGATATCATCTCAACCCGGCCAGAATAGCAAAATTTAACAGAACAGCAAGCAACAAATGCTGGCGAGGTTGTGGAGAAACTGGAACCCTCATTCACTGTTGGTGGAAGTGTAAAGTGGTGCAACCACTGTAGAAGGCAGTATGGCCTTTCTCAAAAAGCTGCAAATAGAGATACTATTTGACCCAGGAATTCCACTACTGGGAATATACCCCAAAGAGACCATAACTGACATCCAAGCAGATATATGCACAGCCATGTTTATCGTGGCTTTGTTCACAATAGCAAGGAGTTGGAAACAACCTAAGTGCCCATCAACAAACGAATGGATAGAGAAGCTGTGGTATATTCACACAATGGAATACTATGCTGCATTGAAAAATAAGGAACTCATGCAATATTATTCAAAATGGTTGACTCTGGAGAACATTATGCTGAGTGAAATAGCTCAGGCAGAAAAGGACAAATACTGCATGGTGCCACTGTTGTAAAACAGGACTGACCTTGGGCTTGGGGGGAGACTGAGAAAGATGTGTTCAATAATGTATATTGCATTGAAACTGATGAGGGAGAAAACTGTTTAAAAGGAACATGTAATTAGGTATTTTTGTCATGACAGGAGTCTAGAGCGAAGGCTGCATAGTGGAATGGACCTGGGGGAAGGGATTGTAAAACAATGAAAGAATTTTTCTTTGACTTTTCCAAGAGGGTAGTGTACTATGGGGGAGGGTTGGGAGGGAGAAAAGTGCAACAATAAATGAATAGAAATCCAAAAACTCTGTAAATTTTCATTGAAATTAATAATAATTTAAAAAAGAAAAAAACCACAAAAACAAAAAAAGAACAGAACTTTATTTTCTCACAGTTTTGAAGCAAGAACTCCAAATCAGAGAGCCTCTGGTCTCTTTCTGTACGCCTTTCTCACACTGGTGTATGCCAAGGATCCTTGCTTTTTGCTTTCCTTCCAGACAATCCTTATTAGTATTAGTCTTTCCTTTTAATAAGTTAGAAATGATTAGGTTTATGATCTATCTGACACTACTAGGATTTCAATTGCTTGGTTAATATGGCATTAGATTACATTTTGGAACATAATTATGTTTCAATTGCATTTGATGTAGTTGCCTTATATGGGACAATAGTGTTTCAGTGATATAATTTTGCCCTTCCATACAGGGCCAAAGGAAAACCCAAAAACCACTACCACTGAGTCAGTTTCAACTCATGGCAAAGCTCCATCAGGTTTCTGAGGCTGTATTTGAGGAAGATACTGTTCATATTTTCCCCATAGAGCATCTGGTGAGTTTGAACCACTGATCTTTTAGTTAGCAGTGTAGTGCATAACAGACTGCATCACCAAGAGCTCCATGCAGGGCACTAAGGCTCAGTTCCCAGTCAGTGCACCTCATGCATAGCCACCATACTTTTGTCATTGGAGGCTTGTATGTTTCTATGATGCTGGACAGGTTTTATTGGCTTATAGACCAGGAAGACAGAATAGGAAGATAGATTAAGTGTGCTACTTCCGGTAAGTGGCAACAGTCCAGCCTCCAACCAATCATGGAGATGGTGCAGGACCATGGAGCTTTTCATTTCATCATGCAGGGAGTTGTGAAGTTTTAGAATCCAACTCATCAGCAGCTAACAACAAATCACATTATGGAATCAAAGACTACAGTCTTCAGTACATAATATGCTTCAGCATAAAGAAAACAAAATCCAACTGGTCGAATAAGTAACATCATGCTAAATGAACAAAGTACTGAAAATGTCAAGCATTACCCTTTACTTGGATCTGTTATTAATGAAAGAAAACTCAAGAAACTTCAGATTAATTAGGTGATAATCCAACAGACTTCAGAGGTTATATATCATATAGGAAGAGATTGTTCATCTTTCTCCTGGGAAGCACTGGTGGACTTGAACCATATGCCTTCAAGATGGCAGTGTAACTCTTTACTACTAAACCACCAGAGTTCCCTCACTACAGTCAAGTACATTCCAACTCATGGAGACCCTCTATCAGGTTCCTAAGAATATGCCTCAAAGGGTCTCATCCCATGAAAACTGCAGTCAAGAAATC